GTATAGAATATATCATCTATATTATAATGCTATAATATAATGTAATATATATTATATACATAACGTAAAATGTAAATCTCTGAAATATATGTAGAATATAAATATGACATATATTAAACACCTTACCCGTTACATTTTATTTTAAAACCTCCCACTCACACACACAGGTTTGTGATTATATCTCTGTGGGGACGCTAATCCCAACATGGCGACCTTGACCCCTACCCAGCCCTCACCTTAAGCATGAGTAAGCAGACAAAAAAGACGACTTTCGGCATTTTAAGTTTTTTAGTATTTTATTCACAAATCTTTGTGGGGACCTGAAAAATGGTCCCCACAACATCAAAAAAACAGGTATTTATTACATTGTGGGGGACATTTGGTAATTTTGGACAGTTTAAAGTTACCCCCACTGCTTTTGCATAAGCGCTGCATGCAGGGGTGCCGTTAAGGGGGGGGGGGGTTAGGATGATCCCACTGGCACTTTTGATACTGGAACGTTTGGTATGGTTGTCTTGGTTACCCTAATTGAACGGCCAATGGAGCGTTTCCTTTCTGTTGTCAGAAGTTGATATGCCGGCCAGTCATATGTTTGGCTCAATCATGTTTTGTTGTGTTTCCTTTTGCAGTTGAGTGCAATAAACATTTAAATTTGAGGAAAAGAATGGTTATAGAGAATTATGATCTAAATTCTAGGCAAAAAAATATGATTCACCTTTTTCTCAGCACCACACTAGTGTGAATGGAATGCAACAGTATGAATTTTTTCTGGTGGCTGGAGAGCCAATCCTGTCACCAACCCCCAAACCTTTCCCTGAAAGGTGGAGGACTTGCTTCCAGGTCTGGACGTAGGTAAACATCATACCCAGCAATTGCAGGTTAAGGGCCGTGTGGTATTCACAGGATTTCAGCTGGCAACCTCACAATTGCCAATACAAATCCTTAACCTCAGAGCCACTGGTCCACTTGCTTGCTTGAACAAATGTTACATATATTGAATTTGTGTAATCAGCTACAAGAAAATGGTCCACACCTTTCATGAAGTGCTGTTATTTAAATGGCTTGAGAAAAGACCCCTGCCATTTTAGCACTTTATAAAGTGCTA